GACCTACCTCTGCTCCTGCATGGGCACTGATGCTCAGGAAAGGTGTCCCTTGGTGGTTGTCACCAGGGAGGGCACAGTCCAGCCTGTGCTGATGGCACGCTGAGGGCCCCTCCCTGCCCAGAGAGAAGTGGGGGGCAATTTGGCAGAGTTCAGCTGCATGAGAAGATGACAGTCTGGAAGAGGCTGCTGAGATGTCTGTCTGATATCCACTTCCTCAAGGAGTGGCAGGTAGCACCTCTGGAGATCCCGGGGTTCAATTAAACCCCAGCTCGTCAAACGAAGTGTGTGAAGTGATGCTGTTTTCTTCCTCAAGAGGGATTTCCTCCAAACCCTTTATCAGGTGCTTGGGTTAAGTCTGTGCAAAGCTGGTAAAGCTGCTGCCTCCATGGTGCCTTCCCCCAGCAGATCAGGGGGGACTTCCAGAGGAAGCACAAGGCAGGATCCGACCAACTAAAAGGGGGAAGAGAGAGGAAGGAGGGAAGCATCGGCATCTAAATCTTTCAGGGCCTCAGAGGTGACAATGCCAGTGTCCATCCTTTGCAAGAGGGGTTGTGGGAGACCCGTGGGAGACAACGTGGCTTGGGGAAGACGAGCCAGGGGGTGCTGCTGGTCCCCAAGAAAGTAAAGCCTGGAGCAAGTTCCCAGTTTCAAACCATCCTCCCAAGGCAGATGTGGAGCTTTCCTGGCTCTGGCTGATGGGAGTGCAGAGCAGCATCAGGCCAGGCAGCAGTGGGTTAAAAGCTTGAGGTGGGACTTGGGAAGCTGCTTCCTCCCAGCTAACAATAACACAGGGAGGGAGAAGGGATGCACAGGGCTCTGCAGGGACAGATACTGATGGAGCAACCCCAGCCCTGCAGCTGCAGCCATGCCAGAGGAAGCCTCAGCACATTATCTGCTGGTCCCACTTGGCTTCCTCAGCAGCCCTGGTGCTGCAGGGACTGGGACATTCTTCCTCCAGAGCCCCATTTCTTATGGACCCACGTTGGATCCCTGTACTTTGATGGCAGCCCTGGACCTCAGCACCCTCCCAGCACTTGCACTCCCAGACAATCCAGCCTTCCCAGCATTAGTATTCTCCATTGCTGATGGCTCTGGGAATGGTCACCCACGGCTCTGAGCCCCAGGACCGCTGTACCACCCAGCACAGGAACGTCCCCATCCTGCTGCCCCGTCCCCCCACGCCACAGACGGTGCCCACACCTTGGCAGAAGGAAGTTTTGGCTGGAAGATGACTCCTGCCAAAGGGATCTCCACGTCCTGGTGGGGGTCCCTGCAGTTCTGGTTGCCTCTGCTCCTGGTCCTTCCCCGGCCAGTGAAGATCTGCTGCACCTGGAGCTGCTGTGGCCGCCCGCCCTGGCCACGCTGGGTGGTGTCCCGGCACTTCCTCGTGTGCTGGCTGTTTGTGACCTGCCTTCTGCCTGCTGCTCCACCTCCACAGCTGCACTGCTGTCACAGGAGCAGCCCTTTTCCGTTCCCCGTTTCCTTTTTTCGACCCTGTCCTCCTGTAGCAGGCTTCGCCTTTCACAGGGGCTCTGCCCGCTGCCGTTTGCCCCACTTGGGCATGGGAGGGTCTGTCATGGTTTGAGATCCTCAAAATTCTAATTCCCTAGACAGGGTCCCTCGCAAAATGGGTCTTTCCCTGACCTTGGCAAGTCAGGTCAGGACTCTCCACGTCCTCACTGCTCCTGTCCCAAACCATGTACCTCCCTGACTCCAATTCCTGGTGCAGTAAGTCTTTGCCAGTGGTCTGGAAGAAGACAGCTGGTGGAAGACCCTGGGAATTACGGGTCTTTCCCACCACTGAGGTCAATCCCTGGAGCCTGGAGCGCTGCTGGGCTCCCCAGAGCAGAGATGTTTGCCCCCAGATGCTACTATGGTTCCAGAGGGGCCGGTAGAGGCCATCTGAGCTGCTCTGGGTGACAACTTCCCCACTCATGTTCCCTGGAAGTCCCCAGACATGTTCCCATGCCCTTGTGCAGCCCCGGGAAGGGTCCCCAGGGGTTGTTCAGCTTCCCCTACTGCTGGACCCAACAGTCCCCTGTGGCAACACACTGGTCCAGTTGGCACCCGTGCTGCAGCTGCAGAATAGAGATGGACCAGCTGCTAAAAGCAGATGGATCCTAAATGACCCTTACTCTGTCCAAGCTTGCCTGTGCTCCCAAGGAATGGCTAGCTGGCAGAGCCAGCATTTCAAGTGTCCCCTGGGGCACTGTGCTGCACCCAGTGAGAGGACACAGGGCTGCGTGTTGCCATCGCAGTGGGCAGGGGGAACACTGAGGTCTGACACTGCCCAGAGCCAGGAAATAAGCCTGACACAAAGGGCAAAGCCAGCAAAAGGGAGGGAGAGGGGCAGGAAACATCCGACAGGGGAGGAAACGGGGAGATAACCACGAGCACAAACACGCAGAGCTCGTGCAGAGGAAAAGCCGACACCACTTGGCAAGCACTGGAGCAGGGAGACCTGCCCATCTGGCCTCTCACTGGAGAGACACCCTCACGGATCTACCAGCCTCCCAAGCTCAGCCCAAACCCCACTGCCACAGCAGGTGGGCAACCATCCTGTGTCACCTGCTCTGCAGACCCTCAGCCAAGCTGATGGAGCTCGTCCCAGCCTTCAGCAGTCCTGTTTCTCCCCATGTTCCCAAGGGAGCAGTTACATCCGTCTCGTGGGGCTGGCAATGCTCATGGAGGGGGGGGACAACTAGAAGCTGTCAGCAAACCACGGTGGGGTCCCTGGCATAGCTCATCTCCCAGGATCCAGCACGTGGCATGGGACAGAAGGGGGAAACATGGAGAGAGACGGGCATGGAGCCAGCCTGTGGTGACTGGCTGGGCTCCAGCTGGCTTATGTGGAGTAACTGGGGCAGGAGAATCTCTGCCAAGGGGCAGGGAGGGCACTCGGGGGAGGCTTGGCCGTGTCTCTGAGCCAGCACTGGGCTGAGCACAGCCATACAGAGGCAGGATCAGGCCCTTCACCCACGCTCCCGTCCCTCAGCCATTCCTCCCAAGGGATTTCCCTCCTCCTGCTGCCATCACAGCACTGATAGTGAGGTGCCCACGTAGGCACTGACTCCTCTGGCCACAGATGTGAGCTGGGAAAGAGCAAAGACAAGTGAGCATTTGCATGGGAAATCAGGTGGCTGGATCAGGTGGAAGAGCCCAGGTGGTTCAGAGCTCCCCTGAGGATGAAGCTGAGGCCGGTGTCTCCCTGCCAGGGAGCATCCATACAGCAGCTCCCCACAGTGCTGCTGGCAGTGCTGTCTCCTGAGGGCCTTGGAAAGCACAGCATGGGCTTGGAACACACTGTGTTCCAAGTCAGCCTGGGCTCGAGGAACACACTGCCAGGCAGGGCTGGCATTAGCCCCACACCAGGGATGGGGCAGTGGAGTACCAGCTCCAGAAGAGAAGTGGGACCCAGGTTGGATCCAGCTGTCCCAGCTCCTGCAACTGCTCCAAAAAGGACTTGCAAATCCATTATGGAAAGTGCCTGTGGAGTAAGGGACTCCCCTCTCCATCATGAACTTTACAGGGGTATCTTGCCTCTCCTCCTATCCATGGCTGGGCACCTGGAATGCTCAGGACTCCCAAGGATGGGGTACAAGGAGCCAGGGGGCTGAGCTCCCAGCTCTGGCAGTGCTGCCACCTCCAGCACAGGCACCCTGCCCCCCAGCCCAGCCTGGCAACACTCCATGTTCCTTTCCCAGCCCTGAAAGTCTCGACCACCAAAATGCCACTGGCTCGGGAGGAACTAGAGCTGATGAGGAAGGAAAACTCACCGGTGCCTGTGACTGACCAGGCTGCAGGGGCTGCTCTTGGAGCGTGTTGGGGCACAACTCACCTCTGTGGGCCCCTGGGACCTCCCTTCAGCTTGGAGCAGCTGATGACAAGGCAGACAGACTGCTAGGATCATAGGCTGGAAAAAGACCTCCAAGATCATCAAGTCCAACCATTAATCCCAGGCTGTTTTTCACAGGGGCTGGCTCCAGAGCAGAGACAGTCTCAGTGGGGACACTGCAGCTGGGAGAAGGTACTAATTGACTTTATTTATTAGCAAGGTGAAGGCAGGGATCACACTCTGTACACCCACCGAGTCCCAAGTAGGTTCCTTGCAGACCACAGAGGACTGAGCATCCCAGAGCTCCAGTGCACCCAGGGAGTGCCCTGGCACCGTGGGGTCCCTCACAGGGACAGAGAGTGGTCACCAGGGGATGGCTTTACCTTCCCAGTTGAGCAGAGTCCCGCTGTGCTTCTCGGAAAGGATTGGCAGCACAGACAGCAGCCCCCGCACGCTTGTGTCCACTGTCAGGTCAGCCTGCAACGGGCACAACGAGACACCACCATCATTCCAGGCCATCCACCAGCACCCACTGGGCTCATGAACATGGGCAGCAAGGCTCCTTCCACCCAGAGTGAGCAGAGAGCCACAGGAGCTGGGACAAGCCTGCTACGTGGGAGGATGGTTGGATATCTGCGTGCTCACTGCCAGCTTGGATGGAGGTGGCTTGGGCTGGAAAGCCAGCCAGAGGTTCAACCAAAACAGACACAGAGGAGATCCCCACTGCAAATGGGATGCTATGTGCAGGCTTCTCAAAACTCCAGTGCTGCAGGGACCACTCTCACTGCAAAACAGGGATCCTGCAGGATGCACGGAGGCCTTGTGGACCTGCAGCTCCTTGAGGAAGGGGGCACAGGATGGAATGGTGCTGCTCTTCTCCTCCTTGCTCTGTCAGATTCAGTTTCTCTGCACACCTCTAGGCTGCCCAAAGCCCCTTTCCCCCCTGAAGAGGTTTCCTGCTCAGCCTGGATACGTGCTGTGGAAATATGCTATTTCCCAGGCAGCATCACATGTTCTGCAGTGACCCACCACACGTGTGGGTAACTTGGAGAACCAAGAGGCAGCTCATTTTCACATGGATGCCTTCTCCCAGGAGCCACCTGAGCTACCTCCTGTGAAGTCTTGTAGGCTTGGGTCCCACCCATGGGTTCTCCTCTCGACCTGCTCAGCCAGAACCCACCTTCTGGGTGCCCATGTCTGTTTTCACCCATCCGGGGTGCAGTGCCACGCAGAGGATCCCGGCTTCCCCGTAGGTCAGAGCCTGGCACATGGTGAGCATGTTGAGGGCAGCCTGGGGGAGGAAGGAAGCATCAGCCACGGGCAGCAAAAAGCTCCAGGTTCCCTCCCCTGTTGCTGAGGGAGAAAAAGCAATGCCAGGTCTTCGAGAGACATTGTGTGTCTCCCCTGGGTGGGCAGGGAGATGCCACAGGAGCTGGGGCAATTCTAAGCGTGGATCAGTCCCTCCATCTCGCAATCTCAGGTGCTTCCCTGAGATCAGGCCTAGCAAGGGGCAGCTCTGCCTCCCAGCAAGCTCAGGAGCAGGGGAGGTTGCCAGCCTCCATACCTTGCTGCAGCGGTAGGAGATGACAGGCGGAGAGAAGGAATCGGTCGTTCTCTTGATGGAGCCCATGGCAGTGGAGATGTTGATGATGGCTGCCTTGCTGCAACTCAGGCCCTTTGCTTTGCTCTCCTGGGCAGCCTTCTTCAGCAGAGGCAGGAATGCCTGGGGAGAAGCAAACTTGTGGGACACCTGTGCCTCAAGCCAGCCCCACTTATGGCAACCACGGCCCAGGGAGGAAGAGGAAGATTGGTGGGAAGCCAGGAGAGCTTGGGTGTTTTGCTGCAGTGGCCCTGCCTGCTCCCAGTTAGCCCAGCACAATGCAGGGGGGCTACAGAGGGCTTGGGCTGGGAGGGCAGCCTTGGCACTGCCCCCTCCCTCCTGCAGCCCAGGAAACTTGGCAAAGCCCTCCAAGATATCTGTTGTGACCACAGACAGCCCAGGATACCCTCAAGCTGGGCCAAATTCCGTGGTGAACTTCATCCCCAGAGCCTCACTCGTACCTGGGCCATCAGCATTGGCCCCACTGCATTGGTCTTGTAGGTCCTGACCATGTCCTCAGCGTCGACCGTGTCCAGCGACGCCGTGGGGGTGTAGATGCCGGCGTTGTTTATCAGCAGGTTCAGGCCCAGGCCGTTCAGCTTCACCTCCACGATCTTCGCCGCCTCGGTGATAGCAGAGGGATTTGAGACATCTGCAGTGGGAGAGAGTGGAGTCTGAGAGCCGTGGGAGGGCTGGGGGGAAGAGGGAGGTGAAGGTGCTGCCGAAACAGCCGCACATCCCGACCCGCGCGGCTCTTCCACCCGTGAGCACCAGATGGTGCTGTGAAACCAGCTCTGAGCACCCCGGCACAGCCCAGCTCAGCCCGAAACTGCCTCCTCAGCCCCACCGCCAGCAGCGGAAGGTCCTGCCCCGGGGCAGCCCACCGGGCAAAGCCCACCATGGGGGCAAAGCGCTGCTGTGACTCCCGTGCTGGCTCAGTTCCCAGCAGACACCACCTCCGAAGTCCACGCCTGAGCAACTTCTGGAGAACCCAGGGCAGTCCTGGCGGGAACAGGTCCCCAAGGGAGCTGTGCTGGGACCTGCTGTGGGATAGGTCTGTAAGGTCCTACAGCTGCTGCCCAGGCTCTGGGCTGATCACGCAGCGTTTCCACAGGAGCTACTTTTCTCCCAGAGCCCTCTTAGTCTTGGCTGGGACTTGGGATCAAGGCAGTTCAGCTGCATGGCAGAGCAAGGATGTAGCCACTTGGCTGGGTGAGCCAGAGGCTGCACGGGACGGGTCTCAAGAACATCCTGGTCCTGTGGCCATGGAGCAAGAAGGCTCGAGGGAATGGAGTACTGAGGCAGAGATAGGTCTGGACTTTTGGCAGCAGGACTTGAAGAAGCTCTGAAGAACTGGATCTCCGTGTACAACCAGAAGGGAGGAGGGAAGGAGGGAGGGAGGGAAGGAGAAATGGGCCAAGCGTGGCCAGCAGTCATGAATTTACCAGCTCAGAGACAGAGCGCACCTACCCAGCTTCACAAGAACCAGGTTTGGGTGTTTGTTTGCCAGGTCTCTCAGCTCCTACAAAAAGAGACACGGAAACAATCAGCACAAGGCAGAGATGATGCCAAGCATCATCCTGGGGCACCAGTGATGGCCCACCCTGAGGGAAACATCTTCCAGATGTTTCTCAGCACTTTGGAACGGCTGGGCTGGGGACCTGCCTTGGTCCCCAGGCTTCTCCTGGGCCTCATAAAGCAACGTGCACGTGCACAGAGCACAACGGGGCCTCAAGTGCAAGATCCTGCAGTCACTCTCCCAAAGGGTGTATGTGCACAGCCCAGCCAGAGCCACAGCAAAGGATGACAGCAAACCCTGAAGGACCAGCTCACCCAGGAAATTATGCAAACTGTCTGGGGATACAGCCAGAGGTGTCTCCCAGAGGCTGCTGGAAGTGAGGTGGAGGAGGAACAGCTGAGAGTGCCAGTATCAGATTTGACCTTGGGGGAAGTCACATCTGGATCCAAATAGTCCGGTCCCAGGCCCACTCTGCTCTGGACACTGCACCCCACCCACTCAAGTGAAATGAACCACTCTGCAAACTTCTCCCTGCTTGTATTTCAGTGGGACACAGCAAGCAGAAGACTGAAAAGCTGGAGCTAAGGGAAGCTGGAAGCACGGAGGAGGCTTTGTGATTCCCTGCAGAAGCAACACGTGCGAGTGTCTCCTGTCAGGGTTGAGCGACTACAAATGCTGAGTCACGGTGAGTTTGTTACAGGGCAGCCAATCCTAAGGTATGTTTATAAAGGAACACCAATTATAAGGCAACATGTATGTTACACCGAGGAGTATATATGTCAGAGATCGGTTGCAATAAAGACCCTGTCCTGTTCTATCCCTCTCCTGTCTTGTTGCTTGGAACTAGACTGTGTATTATTATTGACCGCTGCAACAGCGACACTCTCCCACTTTAGGGAAGTGGGAAGCAGGAGGAGGGGAATCCCACAGCTCCACGGGCCACCAGTTTTGCAGATGGCAGGTTTTGAATCCCCAGGTTTTGAATCCCCAGGTGTTGAATCCCCAGGGTTTGCAGAGCGCAGTGTGACGGTTCAGCCGGAGCA